CACACACACACACACACACACACTCTAACAAAACCTACTTAAGGGACTTTAACTTACTGTGCCCTTTAGGAACTGTCCCTAAGAGACATCAAGTCTGATGGCAATTCTGAACGTCTTCCACCAGGCTTCTGTGCAGCACTCCAAAAGGAGGAGGGAGGCGTGCCCAGGACAAACAGCTCACACAAAACGAAATACTCCTGTATGGGTGTACAGAGAGGGTGGGGGCACATCACAGTGCATTTTCAAAGTAGCTGGACTCGGAGGGAAGAGCTGAGAAACTAACGAGACACCCTGGCTGTCTAGCCAGCAAAGTCCAGACAGAGCTGGACACCAGCACTCCAGAGCACAGGACGGGAGACATAGCTTGGCTCAGAACCTAGCCACGTCCACTGCAGACCACGATGCCCAATGCCCAGCGTGGCGTTGCAGTCGCCAACATCGCCCACGAGTAACCGTAGCATTCGGAGCCCCAGCCCCAGCAGCCACAGATACCATCCTGACACAACAGCAATCTTAGAGCTGTCTAAAGAAGAAGAGGAAGAGTATGATGGGTGGGGCACTTCAGGAAACTGTCTGGGCTCGGCTAGGGAGTGGAAAGGCAGAGTCTGATCTCAGATAAAATAACTGCAGAGCTTCCAACACACAGTGACCTACGATCAATCACGTGCCTCTCCAAAAACACACTGAGATCCTGGGGTGTGTGCATGTACATGTGTGCACGTGGGTACATACTTGCGTGTGTATGCACATGTACAAATGTGCACTCTCACTATGTTCAGGAAGACTCCTCCGAGTTATCTAGGAACTTTAGAGCTGGAGAAGTTAAGTCTCCTGGGAACCCACACTCAGCCTACGAGCTGCACGCAGACCTAGGTAAAGGCTATGCTTGTGGGCCCTGCCTCTTCCCTGGATCCACATCAGCAGATCCAGATCCGGTTTAGACAGTGATGTGTATTCCCATGGCTGTGTGCCCAGAAGAGGTATCCTATACTCAGGTGGGTCCACTGGGGTGGTGGGTTTAGGGTAAGCATATGATAGTCTGGCTATTGAGAGGTGAGAGCAGGTAAACTAAGAAGAAAGTTCTGGAAAACTGTTCTCATTTTTAAAAAATTATTTATTTAATTTTATTTATTATTATTTTAAAATTTGACCAGAGAGAAAGTGAGAAACCCACCAGGTCCAGGACTCAAACTGTAGTTGACCATGTGGGAGTCTAGCACCTCAATCATCACACCACCTGGTGGCCCTCATTTTCTCACTAAAAAAAAGGAACACGAGGCCCTCTCTTCTGCTGGAGCAGAGTATGGCCATAAAATCTGGAAGGGAAGCAGCCACTTGCCCTCCTGAGAAACCAGCTAGAGACCCGAGGCTACAAGCCGAGAAAGAAGAAAAGAGAAGACAAATACTTTGGTCTTTGACGACATCATTGAGAATGTGAATTATCCCAGGAACTCCCTACGCATGTGTAACTGTGTGATCTAATCTATTTTCACAATGGAGTTAGCTGGCTCTGTCAGTTTTTGTTACTTGCAGCCCAAGGCATCCTTAGCCATACACCATGTAGCAAGGTAAATATCTCATATGCAGACTGTGTAAGGGATTTCAGGGACTCCTAAACAAAGACGAATCACAAATCACAAAAAAGTCCAAATTCACCATGATTTCTCAAATGGGTAAGTGTCAATACTGTCATCTCAGCTTTTCTTTCTGCCATATGCCAGGCCAGTATGTGACATGCTGATACATGACAGGCCTTGAGAAGGGCAGTTACTTGACGACACGCTCCTTTTAGAACTGTGCACATATATGTTATGGTGATAGAGGAATAATCTTGCTTCTGCTCCAAGAACAAAATTTCTCCCCACAATATAATTCTGGTGTATGCAAGATTTTCTTGTGTTTGTTTATTTTCTGACACCACCAGGAATCTCTGGCTCTCAAGAGTGCACGTCACACACATAGAGAAATCTATTCTAAATGAGGCAACTTGCTTTCTAAAACACACTCATCAGCCCGTGCTGCACGACTGACGGCATGCCACTACGCGCTGTGTTGATAGAGTCCATATATCCCAAACATTCCGGCTGATCGTGCATGCCATTCCAAGCATCTGAGATTCCCACTGCTTCCTCAGAACCCTTTTGGGAGAGCTCCACCCACACATACCACCACTGTTTCCACAGCAACCAATGGATTTCATAATGAGCAGGACTTGGAAGGAAAGAGATCAAGTGTGTGTGTTGGGGGGAAATCCATACACTGAACCAGAGAAGAACTTTTAAAATATTAAAAATCCAGCATAGCCTCTAAATGCTTATGCGTGAATACTAAACATGTTAGGAAAAAAAAAAAAAAAGACCTACACCCTTATTTAATATGCAAAGTCAATATCCATATCTGGAGACTCACACGCTGTTCAAATCAGCAAAAATGCAAAGCACAGGGATGGTAGGGAATTATGCAGCAAAGACTCCTGAGCAGGACACTCTTCTCTGATAACTCAGAGTTCGGCAGACCTGAAGCACGTGCGAGGCTTGGTTAGGGGCCCCGGGGTGACAGAGGAAACAAAGCATGTCAATCAAGACAATTCCCAACTCAAGCAGAGACATGACCTGGATGAAGATCCACATGAGGGGGTCAGGGGGTGGAGATTCGAGAGGAAGGCAGAGGTCAGATCTGCCAGCAGCATGCAGCCCCTGGGGGACAGCGTCCTGAAGCCACATGGCTCAGCCCTCTCCTGTCCATGACAGACTCGTCCACCTGAGGCCCCCGTAATCTGGGAATGCAACTTTGTGCAGGAGATACTCTGGGGTGATGGAACACATCCCTGTGTAAAGCTCCCACAAACACTCACCATCCTCGAAAATTGCTCCTATTTCAAAAGATAATTCCGAGCTATGCTCTGCTTCACATGGATACACGGCTCGGGCCTTCCGGTTGATGACGCTGAGAAGGGAACACAGAAGAAGAATTAAAATGTGAAACACTGGGAGAGCCAGACCTCCCCGTTCTCTAAACTCCCCAATTTCATTTGTATGTCACAAGTGGGGCAACTCCTGCCCCAAAAAAGACGTTAACGTGGAAGTGAACATCAGGCAAAGCCACAGGAGATGATGGGTTCAAACCCCAACCTTTCCTTGGGGAGTCACTGAACCACTTCACCTAATCTAATCCCCCGCCCCGCCCGGCGAGATGCCCTGTCCCACCGCTCTGCACTGTCAGAGCACGGGCACGTTCCCTGCCTCATCGCCCCAGGGTGTCTGTAGGGAAGCCAGCCTCTGGAGACAGGGCAGCCAGTGGAGGGACAGTGCGGGCACAGCAACGGGCTCTGCAACGAGCCACCGAGCAAACCTGTCTGGGACGACTACCTGCTCCCACACCCCTCTGGAGGGGGCTGGCCTTCTCCCTTGGGTTCGTTCTTTCTTTCTTTCTTTTTTATTTTATTTATTTATTTATTTTGAGAGGTTTTTGCTATGGGGCACGTGCGCTCACCAGAAAGAAAGACACAAAGAGATAGAAAGCAAGAAATCACCCCCCAGGGGGGATAGCCACACCACAATCCCGTCTCCTCCATTCTCCTCTTGGGATCCTGGGCATGCATGCACACACACACACCCGGTGTGAGTTTAAGCCACCGGGTCCAGGACTCGAACCATGGTCAACTACATGGGAATTCACTGACGTAGCCACTACGCCAACTGCTGGTCCTTCTTTATTTTTTTTTTAAGAGAGAGATATTTGCTCTCCGTGTGTGCTCACCAGAAAGACAGAGAGAGAGAAAGTGAGAAATCCCCCCCAAGGGATGGCCATGCCACAATCCCTTCTCCTCCATTATTCTCCTCTCAGGATTTTGGGCATGTGCACACACACACATGTGCCCATTGTGAGTTTCAAGCCTCCAGGTCCAGGACTTGAGCCATGGTCAGCCATGTGGGGAATCTATGCCATAACCACTATGCCACCTACTGGCTCTGGGTTTTCTCACCCCCACCCCCAGAAAGGCACACCCAGCTCAGCTTCTCACATGAAATGTGTCACACATCCTCTGTCCTCTAGCCAGAAACAGACACAGTGGGGAAAGATGGAAACCATGCCTTCAGTCCGATCTGAACTGGCAGGAGGAGCGGGTGAGTGGGGAGAACTGCATCAGCCGCAACCTGGAGGCAAAGGCTCGCTGAGGGCCAGCACCCCATCCTCGACAGGGGTGACACTCAACAGCCTCGTAAGTGAAAGTGTCCATGCCTGATCTGCCGTCCTTTGAGACAAACTGTGCTCTCTCTTCACGTGCCAGAACATCTTCTAAAATAAGCAGTGTCATGAGTGTACTGAGTCGTCAGAAAAGTCCCGACACAGGTTTGTGCAGGAAATCAGAAAAATACCTCATGGCATCCCCGATGACCCAGCACAACCAGCACCACAAGAGAGTAGGTTCCGGCAGGTGTCACATGAGGCAGACTTCTCCAAGAAACGTCCTTGCTCTTGGGACCAGCAGTTGGTGTAAGGGCTATGTCAGCTGGACTCCCATGTAATTGACAATGGTTTGAGTCCCGGACCTGGTGGCTTAAACTCACGCCAGGCGCGTGTGTGTATGTGCCCAAGATCCCGAGAGGAAAATGGAGGAGAAGGGATTGTGGTGTGGCCATCCCCCCCTGGGGGGTGATTTCTCGCTTTCTATCTCTCTGTCTCTCTCTGTCTTTCTGGTAAGTGTACACGCCCTATAGCAACAACCTCTACCAACAGGAAAAAAAAAAAAACCTTGCTCTTGTGCTGGGGCAAAGCCTGATACCGGCCATCAGCCAGGAGTCCAAGCAGCTGAGCAGGCCTTGTTTGGCAGAGAACACAGAACCCACTTGGGTTCCACTCACACAGCCGCTTCGACGGGCTGCTACCATATTTCACACCCTCCTCCAAACCACATACCTGTCAGGCGGCTTGTCAGCTACAGTGGCAGGAAGAGACAGAGGGAAAGGTGACCTGGGCGAAGGAGGGGTGGCAGCCGGAGTGGAGCTCGGTGTGGCTGAAGACTGCGGGTTAAGCCACTGGACCATGGACGAGCGCGTCTGGCTTGGGCTGAGGGCAGTGTGTGAAGGACAGAGTGAGTATAAATGCCACAGAACACCAAACACAGGACATGCCAATCTACTGGGTTGACAGAAAAGTCATGATGCATTTTTACATAGAAAAACGTGTCATGACTTTTCCAATGACCCAATATTACTAACTGGCAAGGATGCTGGTCCCCTCATTTCTCCTGAACAGTCGGGACAAAGCCCTCCCTGCCCTGTCCCAGCACTCTAGGCCAAACTGTAGATACCAACAGCTCAAAAACCAGCCTCAACCCCAAGCACGGGACAGCCATTGTACTCCTCCAGGTCTGTGAAAAGCTCCAGCCCTGTCCAGCCTAGCACCATATCAACTCGGTAATTAGAGAACCAGACCAATTGCTCAAAATACTGGCTAGGAACTCTGAGTTACTCATTTATTTCCTGCTTAAAAAAGAATAAGTGACAAGAATCTAGAGTCAAGCCCACACCTTATGACTGCAGAGGATCAACCCATAGACTTTTTTTTTTTTTTAAGAGAGGTTTTTGCTATAGGGTGCATGCTCTTGTCAGAGAGACAGAAAGCAAGAAATCACCCCCGGGGGGATGGCCACACCATAATTCCTTCTCCTCCATTCTCCTCTCGGGATTCTGGGCATGCACGCACACGTGCCCACATGACCTTTTTAAGTAGCCAGGTTCAGGACTTGAACCACAGTTGGCTACATGGGATCCAGCAACATAACCATTACACCATCTACTGGTCCTAATGTATCGCCTTTCAATGTTTCAAGTTTGTCATTGGTCACTCACACATGGCAACCCAGAAAACAACTGCCACTGGGAATCAGGATTTTTCTAGAGAGGGCCAGAGATTAGAGTTTAAGGAAAAATTGACAAATAGCAAAAGTCTTTGGTGAGTAGAGTACTCAAAATACTAAATTTAAAAAGAAAAAGTGAACATTGCCAGGTGTGTGTATGTGTGCCCAAAATCCTGGAGAGGAGGATGGGGACCAGTAGTTAGCTTAATGGCTATGTCGCTGTCGCTGGATTCCCATGTAGTCAACCACGGTTCAAGTCCCCGACCTGGTGGCTTAAACTCACGCCGGGCGCGTGTGCATGCATGCCCAAGATCCCAAAAGGAGAATGGAGGAGAAGGGACTGCAACATGGCCATCCCCCCTGGGGGGGGGGGGGGGTGATTTCTCTGGTGAGCGCATGCGCCCTATAGCAAAAATCTATCCAAAAAAAGAAGAAGAATGGAAGAGAAGGGATGGTGGCATGGCCACCCCTGCAGGGTAATTTCTCACTTTATATCTCTCTGTCTCTGTCTCTCTCTCTCTCTCTGTTCTCCAGTGAGCATATGCAGCCCTATAGCAAAAAACCTCTCTTAATAAAAAAAAAGTTAACTATAAGAGGACAGAGAACAGATCCCTGGTGGAGTTCCTAGCCATGGCGGGGGAGTCCAGTAAATATACACATTGCTCAGAATTACTCCTCAGCTGTTCCGGACCTGAGGTTTGGGACCATGGCACACAAAGCTGCCTTTGGAGCACATGATGAGAACACATGTCCCCTCAGTTATTCACACACACACACACACACACACACACACACACACTCTGACGTGTTCAGCATCTGCTCCGCCCAGTGCTCTTCCCCTCAAGTTCACCCTCGCAGCTAGCACCAGTTTCTTGTCCTCCCGTATTCCAGAGCATTACTGTCCATGCTTTCTCCTACAGCAGAACTAGCACTGCCTTCTGTCCACTGTCGCTTCACAGCAGTCCCCAGGCTGCTCTTTTCTCCCCTCTTCTTCTCCCCCAGGAGAATGTTCTGTTCTCACGGCGCCACACCCACAATGCATTGCCCACATGGTCTCCTGGCAAGGCCCCGGCCCCATTCCTCCCATACTGTGGCCACACTCAGCGCCCTAAGCCCAGGGCTATGCCATCTGCCTCCCTGAGGCACTCGTCCTCCTGCCCACAGGATGGGCCTGCCCATGGCCTCCATGCAGACAGGCCTGCCTTCCGCCTCACGCATCTCCTATCTCTGGCCCTCCTCTGCCTCTCTCACCCACACACCTTCCCCAAAGGCCCATCACACACAGGAACACAAGGACAGGTCATGTTAGCTGTTCTCTGATGGCACCAGGGGACCAGGTGGTCTGGCCTTTGTGGCAGGATCGGGTCTTTCGTTCTTTCTGTAGACCTCAGAGAGCTGGGCAACAGCTCGGCACATCAAATCTTCAGGCCACATCTAAGAGACCGGTTAACAGGTTCAAATCCTCACACTGGAGTCCGTACACCAGGTGCATACTTTTATAAATCATGTGCATTACTGGCGTGGTGGGTGGGTACTGACTACATACCAAGGTTCCTCTCCATTGGTCAGTAAAGGGGGAGGGAGCATTTAGAAAACATTCTTCTCCAGAGAACGTATATACAATTCCCCTACCTGGCCATTTATTTGGGAGCCATCAAACCTACTTCATCCCAAGCCAAAAGAGCTATAAATCTAAAATTTGATCCATACCACCAGCCACAAAAGTCCCTCAATCGTTTAGAAGACTGTAATTCAGTAGAAGTCATAGGGTCTTACTAATCGGGGAGGCAAGGAGAGGGAGGTGGGAGTGAATGACAGGGAATTTCAGGCTGCAGTTTGCTAAACAATCACAATCTCGGAGGTGGTGGGGGTGGGAGAGGACATTCTTGCCACACCCACACCCTGTCAGCTCTTCCTCATCATGAAGAGTCAAAGGATTAAAGGATGGCCGTTCATCAGCTTAGAAGGAGGGCAGCTATGGGATGAGGAAAAGTAACAAGATTTAGAAGGCCCTTTAAAAATACGGATTATGCATTTTATACCTATTATCTACTTAATCCTTTTTTTTTAAGTGTTTTAGGTTCTTTTTTTTTAATGTGCATGCGTGTGTGTGTGTGTGTGTGTGTGTGTGTGTATGAAAGGGCTGTTAGAGCAGCAGGCAGAGAAGAAAAGGGCTGTACCTCAGCCTGTCCTCTACCCCCTCCAGAAACCCAAACTCGAAGGGGTTACCCTGGTCCAGGCTTAAGCTCTTCACAAGAGTCTGTTTTGTTTTTGCGTTTTCTGTGACCTTTTTGTTGTCATTCGACATAGACAAGGGAACTTCAAAAAGTTCACGGTAAAATGGTACAAAAAGAATTTTCAGTTTATTTAATAAATAATTCCTTCTATGCAAGAAAGGCAAATGCAGAGAGACACAGTCAGTCAGATGCCTCCTGGTCTCAGCTGGCCTAGATGACAGGCACACTGGTTCACTCAGCTTGACCAGGAATGCAAACTCAGGGCCTTCCCTACACAGGTCCATATCACCACTATGCCACCTCTTTGCCCAAGTTGCAAAAAAAAAGTCAAACTCCAAGTATAGAGCGTTCATCGTTTGCATTTCCATAAAGTTTTTAAAGATCCCTATGTGTGTGGACGTGCATAACCTGGTCTAACCAGTCCACCAAGATAATAACACCACTTCAGACTTAATCCTCAAGACTTAAATTTCTGTATTTGAGTTTCTGGAGGCTACTCCTAGCATCACAGAAGCCCCAGCTAGATACTTTTGGACCTCAGAATCCCACACAGGAACACAGTCTGCAAAGGAGGAAGAAAATGCGAGTCCGGAAACTGTCTATGGAAATGAAGCGGTAACTCATGTGGACAACCGGACGCCCTGTGGAAAAGAAACCCTCTGGGAAGGAGTGGGGACGAGGCCAGAGGGAGTGCACGAACGTGCTCAAGTCAGTCCTGAAACGAGCTCTAGCCTCAGCCGGCAGAGGTCACACAGTAGTGACTCCCAAAAGCAAACCGATCATATCTTTTTGAAGGCAGAAAGTGTAAATATGAGTATCATTTCCTGCTTTTCAGAACTTGGGTAATATTTTTGTGTAATAAAGATGAAAAATCTGAAAAACCATGTAGTTAAAAAGCAGTAGAGGAAAACATTTGATTGTTTATTTATTTATTCTTTAGGTTTTCACCATAGGGCATGTGTTCTTAATGGAAACAAAGAGAAAAGTGAGCAATCACCCCCCAGATGGGATGGCCATGTCACAATCCCTTTTGCTCCATTCTCCTCTCAGGATTTTGGGCACACACACGCACACGTCTGGTATAATTTTGAAGCCACCAGGTCCAGGACTGGAACCATGGTCAGTCATATAGGAGTCCAGCATCTTAGCCACCATGCCACCTGCTGGCCCCAGAAAACATTAGTTTTCCATGAGAACTGAACCAATGTTCAATGAGAACATTTGGAAGGAATACTAGGCATTGGGAGGTGGCAGCCTACAGTCGAGCTCTAGCAATGTTTTCTGAAGCAGGGCCCCAGGAGGGAAGTGAGCTCTAAGACACCCACAGACGACAGAAACTGACTGTCGTTCCTGTGTACCTAGAATGGCTCTAGCCGCTTATCCATTGAAGGCAATTCTCGATGAGTCTCTCACGGTCCTGACACCTAGTGAGTGGGAGGCCTGCCACCCTTGTTCTGGACTCTCTCTCCCAGGGTATCTGCAGAGCAAATGGCCTTGGAAGAAAGGAGTTGTCTCTCTGGGACAAAGAGAAGACTTCGCTCATCCCAAGAAAATTGGATTTTCTTTTTCTTTCTTTCTTTTTAAATTACATATAGGTCTTTTTTTGTTTTCTTTTTTAAGTTTATTTACTTCTTCCTAGAGAGAAAAAGAGAAAGCACGTGAGAAACAGAGAGGCATTCCCCACAGGGCCCTCAGGCTGTGATCCACAGCCCTGTCCCAGCCAACCTGCATCACGAGCACTGGTACATCTTGAGCTTGAGGAGGCCTCAGGAAGTGAACCCAGAACCTTTCCCATACAGGTCTCCTTGTTGTTGCTATGCTACCACCTGGCCCAGATCTGAGATAGAATTTCTTTTTCATTCTTTTTTTTTTTTTTTCCTTTTTCCTTTAAATAGATTTTTGCTATTGGGTACAGGTGCTCGCAGGAAAGACAAAGAGACAGAAAATGAGAATCAGCCCCCAGGGGGCAC